CAATAACATAAACAGTACAATGATGATGACTGATGATGATAGTGATGGTGGTGGTGATTATGATGATTACGATGATGATGATGGTTACGATGATGGTTACGATGGCTTTTGTAAAAAAGTTTAAAAGGGCTTTAGTGGTGAGGCTGGTCGTGGGGCCGGTTCAACACGGGCGGAATTCATCCAGCCTTCTGACCATTCCCTGATAACGTTAGCAACAGCATTCCCCGCGAAGGTTTACCCATTGCAGTGCAACAAACTGTTCACTCTCCAGTTGCTTCTTTGACAAGTCTGCCATGCAGAGTCAGCACTGATGCCCGGCGATGGCCCTGGCGAAGGCCTCTCCGCAGGTACTTATGTGGACTCTGGTTCGGCCAGCTTTGGTCAGCTGCGGCTTCCTTTGCTCGAGGAATGCAAGGCACTACGAAGGTAACCACTCTGAGGTTCTTTGACGAAAAACCCTGCGCTTCTTATTCTTCATCTTAAAAACACGACTAGAAAACCCAACTGCGAACCAGAAATTCCATACAACATGACATTTAATATCTTCACGACGTACATCAGGTAATGCTAGCCAGCCTCACACGTGCAATGGTACTCTCTGCCCCGCATAATCACTGCTCCTCACATTTATCGTAACCTGCATATACTGCCGTCCGCATGTCTTTGTGACGCATGTCACGTCACTGGCTGATGTAGCTCGTGCTGCCCTCGCCCCCACCCCACCCCCACCCCACTCTCGCCTCTGCGTGGCGTGTAGCCGACTCCACCTTGTGTTGCTCGCTCGTTTGGTAGTCGATGTGTGTGAACGCGCCGTTTGACACAAAAAGCAGTTTTAAAAGCCGGCGCTCCCGATTCGTCCCAGGTGATAGGTTGCTCCTTCCGCGCTTGCACTTCCAGTAGGTATTCATACACATGTCATGGTTATGTTTAGCCCGGTGGACGCTAATCAGAACAGCACTAACAATTAGACTCAGACCAGCTTTCTCCGTGAAGACACAGCATATAGTAACGAACAAAGTTTTTGAGTTTTATGCGTATAATGCCATTAAACCCGCTCGGAGCACAAGTGCTCCTCCGGCCGAGAGATACGGGACCGACACAAGCGGCACTTTTAGTGTACCCGTAACTCGGGAGATTACAGAATCAGACTTACTTAATTGCTAGTATATACCTACTCGCAATGCCTCCCCGCCCGATAGGATCGCTCCGCCCACACACAACGATCTGCCACTGTCTAGCCACGCCATCACACCATACTCAACTCTATCATCTACTGGGTGAAATCCACCTCATCACTATGACAAACTCATATAGACAACGATCATAACTCGACCTGTCAATCTATCTACATTAACACGTGAATTTATACCCTATAGTCAATAACTACTGAAGACACAATTCATGAGTTGCATACTAGGGTTGCTTATTGCACGGCGTCAGCTTCTATCTTCTTTATAATGGGATCTGGAGTGTGCTGCATAGTATCCCTCGGTACTTCGAGCGGATTCCGCGCACGGGCAGGCGCGAGACGGCGGTGGAGATTAATGATAAAGCAACCTCGCAAATCGCGACGCAGGCGACATTCTGTCCTCCACGCGATATCTGCCTGCCCGTTTCTTTGTTGGTCTTCCGGCCGCGATGGGCATTAACAACTTAACGACGCCGCCGCCGCGCTTGCCACCTCCCCCCTGCCGTGCTCTGGCTTTCAGACCGGCTCGATATGATCTTCAATGCCTCAACTTGTCTGTAAGAGTATAAAAATAATACATTACATATTCGATAACAAGCACGACTTCATGCAAATAGCCGTAGTAACGAAGAAGAATAAGGAATAAAATCAGCGTTTTAGCGTCCTGAATAGTATGAGTCAACTGCCTTCGCGTCAGTGAAAGATTGATGCATTAGCTTTTTGACAACTCTCGAATGGATATTCTGCCACTTTATAGCCTTCCCTCCCCCCCCCTCTCAGTGCGATTACACCCTGATTCCCTCCGCTGTGCTTCAGGAAAGCCTCGTGATAAATTAATATCTATACAACGGCCTCCTCTTCTCTGCTCCCTTGTTTGCTCTATAGCAGCATCCCGTCTAACTTCACTCTTCTGTTTGGGAGACTGTAGACTACCCTCACCCACATGATAGTCCTAAGATCGCTCCATATAACATGCTTCTCCGATCGCTACAGTAGTGCTCTCTTCAATAAGCGGTTTGTCACGCAATCTAGGCTCCGTTACATCGCCAGCTCACCTAGCGTATACTGGTACACAAAAAACAGCTTGAGCCTAACAAATTTCTAGGCCGGACCCCACACCTCCTAACTCACCCCGACGCCTAGACTTTCACAGAATACACCTACCCCGACTGCGTACATCTCCTCCTTCGCTCTGCTCTGTGGCCTCTACCTTTCCCTCCCTTGTCTCGGTCATATGTATATCTAGTGTGTCCTGTCATTTCGCATTTCTGGTGATTTCTCCTCTCCTCCCTTCGTCGTGTCAAGTCGTGACTAGGTCTCTCGAGCACCCTGGTCAGGGAGGGCTATCATTAATCATATACTAATTGTGTTACTCCCGCCGCGGCCCTGTCTCCCGAGTGAGCCTGCTCTCACTCCCCGCCCGCTTTGCACCGGCTGTGTCGGGTAGGCGGGAACGGGTCATCTGTTTGCAGTGCGCGCGCCGTTGCGTTTCAAAACCAAGGCGCGCCATGCGTGACTCCGCCGCCGCCCATATCCATGCCTCTCCCTCAGGGAGTCCCTCGAGGGAATCGCCGCGCCAGTAAGTGTTACTGGACGCGGTCCCTGCCATGTGCACGACCGCGGAGATGGTCTTTGTTTAGCAATTTTTGCGCGTTTTTTTCCAGGCCCGGCCTACTATCACAGTTCGAGTCAACACCTCTATTATTCCCTGGGTCTTCAAACTGACCTTTCCGTTTCTATTTCTACCCTAAGTTCTGCCTTCGTAGCTGAGCCTTCGTGTTCCAGCGAATCTCGCTCTTTACTCCCCTCTCTCTCGCCTTCCTTCCTCCCGACCACTATCGGCGCCAGGCCTTGCGTCACGACTCGGGCGGCCGAACTCGAGGCATAATGAACTTCCAGATGCGGAGGGAGGGGCGGGCGAGCGGGACCGCGGAGGTAACGGGGAGCAAAGCGAAGGATAGAGACAACGGCTGAATCGACAGATAAGAGAAGGGGAGGAATACAGGAGGAGGAGAGAGCGGCCGGAGTGACGCAGGTGAGGGGAGGAGGCTGTTGCCGGCGCTGAGCTCATAATTTTGCTCTTCACTTGAACGCATTTCCATTATTTGTTTTTTTTCTGTCACTTATACTTCCTTCGTTTATTTTTTCTACTACTCTCTTCTCTCATTTCTTTCCTTTGTCTCATTCTAGCTTCTGACTCTCGTCAAGAGTTAGATATTAATCTTAAATTACCAGCGGAGGGGAGGGAGGGAGGACAGGGAAAGAGGGAGAGACGAGAGAGAGAAACATAGGGAAGAGCAGAGAGGAAGGGCGAGAAAGAAGAGCGGGAGGAAGTGGGAAGAGGGAGTGATGATGGAAGGAGGAAAGAGAGAGAGAGGAGGAGTTTGAGGGGAGAGGAGGAGTTTGAGGGGAGGGAGGGGAGGGGAGGGGGAGGGGAGGGAGGGCGGAGACGGAAAGGGGATGAAGGCCAGAGAGAGGGAGGAGTGACGAGGGGAAGATGGAAAGAGAGGTGAGGGGAGAAGAGGGAGATGAGCAGGAGGAAAGAGGGTGAGGGGGAGAAGAGGGAGATGAGCAGGAGGAAGAGGGTGGGGAGAAAAAAGATGAGCAGGAGGAAAGAGAGAGAGGGGTGAGAGCAGGAGGAGGAAGGAAGGAAGGAAAGGGAGAGTGTAAGGGAAGGTGAGGAAGGGTATGAGATGAAAAAGAGGGAAAGAGTGGAAGACAAGAAAGGGAAGAGGGAAAGGGGGGGGGAGGGAGAGAGAGGAGAGAGAGAGAGAGAGAGAGAGAGAGAGGAGAGAGAGAGGAGAGAGAGAGAGAGAGAGAGAGAGAGAGAGAGAGAGAGAGAGAGAGAGTACAAAAGGGAAAAGTAAGACGAGTTAAGTGGATGGGAGGGAGAAAGAGTGGACGGCAGGGATAGAGGAGAAGGGAAGGTGACAAGATGAAAACGGATGAAAGACAGAGAAAAAAACATCATCATCGGGAAACAGTCCCGGCCAAACATGAGGAATAAGGGAATAAAGCGAGTGAATGGAGGAAGAGGTGAAAAGGGAGAACACAACCATGTCGACCACGGATATATAAGAGAGAACGGAGAGACACTGCTTACCAGTCAGGACAACCAAAAATAAAATCAAGGATAGAACAACAGGGAAGAAGAGGGAAGCAGGAAGAATAGGAAGGAGGAAGAGAGAGGAAAAAACAGAACAAAAAAGATCAATTCTACCCCCAACCCCCCCCAGTCCCCCCACCCTCGCGGCCAAAAGTTACAAAGAAACAGGCGACGTGACCGAAGACCCCAAGCCGAAGCGTTCGAACTTACGAAGGCGGCAAGAAAAATTGGCTCGAAGGCCAAGCGGTTCCCTGATTCAGCGAGGAGGAAGGGGTAGGAGGAAAAGGGAGGAGGAGGGAGGAGGGAGAAAGAGACGGAAGAGGGAAGAAGAGAGGAGGGAGGAGAGGAAGGAAGAGGGAAGGAGGCGGCGGAGGGAGGAAAGAGGAGGAAAAGGGAGGAAGAAGGAAGGGAGAGGAGGAAGGAGGAGGAAAAGGGAGGAAGAAGGAAAGGAGAGGGAGGAAGGAGGAGGAAAAGGGAGGAAGAAGGAAAGGAGAGGGAGGATGGGGGAAGAGGGAGAAAGAATGAAGAAGATAAAAAAGGAATGAGGAAGGATGATGAACAAGGACGAAGAGGGACGAACACACACACACACACAAACAGACATACACACACACACGCACACACACACACACACACACACACACACGATAATAAAGCCAACATTAACGATGCCCATGGTGCCAATTATTTGTTGACAAAACAAATCTTTCCGAAGACCTGTGAAAATAAAGGTCTAGTCCCACTTGCATGTCCGGCGTCACCACAAGCCCTCACTCGCGCCACTCAAGGTCAGGCGAGCGCGAGCAGACGCCACCAAACGCCAAGGAAGCGCCCAAGCAGTAGGCCTAGGCGAGGTCCTAGGCTCCGTCTGGTGGACACAATTACGTAAGTGACTGCCGGGCTGATCAATAGGGCTGTCTGGGCTGGGGGACGCGGCGGCCCTTCCTCGCTCTTTCGCTTCTTTGTCACTTCATTGTTCTTCGGTTGCTTTTATTTTGCTTTCCTTGAGGAAGAAAGGGGTGGAGGGAGAGATGGAGAGAGAAATCGGGAGAGGGAGGGAGCGGTTAAGAGGGATAAAGGGTTACAGGCAGACGAAGGAAAGGCATATAAAAATCGACAGATAGATGGATGGATAGATAGATATAGGGGAGGGAGAGAGAGAGAGAGAGAGAGAGAGAGAGAGAGAGAGAGAGAGAGAGAGAGAGAGAGAGAGAGAGAGAGAGAGAGAGAGAGAGAGAGAGAGAGAGAGAGAGAGAGAGAGAGCATTCTGAGGGGAAAAGGGAGAGCGCGCGGGCGAGACCCGCACGAAGGGGAAAGGGAGGAGAGGGCAATGGCCTCCGGGTGCGGCCTCTGGGGACGCAGGGAACGCGAGGCCGGATGGGCGTTGCGATGGAATCCCAGCCCTTTCTCCTCTCGCCTCCGCCACTTATCCTCGGTTCGCCCTCCTCGCCTCCTCCCTCGCCGCACACCATGCTTCGCCCTCGCCTCCTCACCTCGTCTGCACGTCGTCCTCCACGGCGAGGCTGAGCACCCGATGCCGTTCGAGTGCGGGCCAAGCCGAAGGCCGGACTGTGCGAAGGGAGACGGAATGAGACACACGCAGGTGTATTTCAGACAGACAGACAGACAGACAGACAGGCTCAATGATGGATATACTTAACTGAAAAGGTTCTCCTCCCTGGCCATATCCCTCACCCCCCACATTCGCTCCATGCGCCCTTACCGGAACTTCCTGCCTGGCCGCCCGCGCCCACACCGCCGCTATCCTTCCCTGGAGCACACGCCCTGCCAGGTCAATGGTCTACTCACGAAAGGTAAAAATCAATTTCGTTTCCTTTTCCCCTTTCGCCCTGTCCGTTCGAGGAGCAGATCTGGAGTCACTCGCGAGTGAACGTTAATAGCAAGGAAGTGACGGGAACCCTACTCATAACAAGACGGAACAAAGACGCCCTAAAAAGAAGAGGACTCGAAAACAAAGACTTAATGGTTTATCGACTTGCCAGTCCTGCTCGCGGACTGGATATCGTGCTTGCCGGCGCCGACCGCATCCGCTCTTGCTCCTCGGTGAACAAAGGGCGGAGTGGTGTTTTGGTGTGTTCCGAGGAATATGCAAGGTGACGGTCTTACGCACCTTTCCTTCAGCAACGACGCTCCCGCCACCTGTATTTGTAGTTCTAGTACACAAATACCAGAAATCACATTACATACTTGGCGCTCCAATCATATCTTTACCCCTTATATATAATATTTCTTTAGGCTACCTTATATTCCCCAATTCATATCTCCCTCTTCCCTCAGTTGTGTGAGCTACTATCTCACTACCTGATCACTTGATCTTACTATACTTCATGCTACTAC